TTGGCAAGGGTTGTTTGCCAAACTAGTGCGGTGCTTTGACGGAGTTCAAGAGACCGGGACTTAGTGGATTCGGAAATCCTTGAGGAGGAGCCTCGAGGTACTGGAGTAGGGAGTTCCCGAACCAGTATAAAATCGGTGTGCATTTTATTTACGCTTTTATTTCTGCGTTTTATATATTGCTTCCGCATTTGCCAACACCGTTTTTATTAAACTCCGAAAAGATTTTAAAACGCCTTATTCACCCCCCTCTAAGGCGTGGGCACAACGACTAAACCGACTAACACTGAGGACGAATTTGATGCCGAAGACATCAAGAAAGTAGAGAACTACGCGAAGGCGATCAACATGCTCTACTCTGCGGTCAATCCCAATGACTATCGTAAAATCTCTTGCTGCACAACCACCAAAGAGATGTGGGACAAGCTCGAGGTAACATACGAAGGCACAGACCAAGTTCGAGAAGCCAAAATTGACTTCCTCACGCAGGAGTACGAGTTTTCAGGATGAAAGAAGACGAGAAAGTCGACGACATGTTCGATCGCTTCTCGAAGATCATCAATGATCTTCACGCCCTCAAGAAGACGTACGCACACAAGGACCTCGGGAGGAAAATCCTGCAGAGCCTCACCCCCGAATGGAGATCAAAGGCCAATGCCATCTATGAATCCATCGGAGTCTCCAACGTCACCATCGATGGTTTAAGAGGTAATCTAAAAACTTATGAATCTACTATTCTAACCCCGTCTTTGGATGAACAAAAGAAGAGGATAGCGCTGAAAGCAACCAAGGAAACGGTTGAAGAGGAATCAAGTGATGAAGACAATGAGTTTGACCTCATCATCAAGAAATTCCACAAATTTTATGAAGAAAGAGCACGAGAGCAAATGAAAGAAGCATGACGGTTCCCCAAAGTGTTATGGATGTGGCGAGATCGGTCACATCAAGCCGAGGTGTCCAAAAGGCAAAAACGGCAAGGACAAACCCGGATTCAAAAAGCAAAGAGCGTATATCTCTTGGGGTGGTGACTCCGGCGTGGAGTCAAGTGAGCAAGAGGAAGACAAAGAAGCAAACCTTTGTCTCATAGCTCAAGAAGAAGAGGAGCCCCCCAATGATGAAAACAAAAAGGTATGTATTTCTTCTACCGTCTCTTATTCTTTTGAAGAAACGCAAGAAGCTCTCCAAGAGCTTTACAACGAGTTTGTTAGCGCTTCTAAAACCAACAAAGTTTTAAAGAAACGTTTTTCTAATGTTGAAACTGAACTTGAAAAACTTCAAAAGGAAAACGAAAAACTAAAAGAGGAAAATAAATTTTATGGTAAAAGAAGCTGTTATACCCAAACCGGGGGTCTAAACGAGTGGCTATTTTGATGAGGAATCAAGGAATGATTCAACTTTAGTTCAGGGTTCTGGAGCAGGAGATAATCGATTTACACAAAGTGACAATCGATTACTAAAAGCTGCAGAATTTCTGGGGAAGCTGATAGTCGATTATCTTAAAGGGATAATCGATTATTAAGCCCTGCAGGTGTTTCCAATGGGATTGATAATCGATTGTGGGGAATGATAATCGATTATTTGGCAGAATTCTGAGCAGGAAGAAGGGTGTTTTTGTGGGGGAATGGACTGGAAATATATGGAGTTGATGAGGGAGTTCTTTTGGGTATTTTAATTGGAAGAAAAGAGTGAGATTAAGAGGAGAAATGGGGGGATATGAAATGGACGAAAAATCAGGGATGGATAAACCAAGTTGGTGTTTAAGAGATATTACACACTCTTAGCCTAACTTGAGGTTTGAATCTAGAATTTAAATAAGATATTACACACTTATTTAAATATCTAGAACCTAAAACTCACACTTAAGATAACCACTCTTAAGATATAGAATTAGGGATTTGGCTAAAATAGCATTACACTATTTTATAAATACTCAAAGAGTAAAAGGAGTTTTTAATATTCAAAAGATGTGTTACATTTGGCCATAGGGCCTGATTTATATAGGGAGAGGGGAAGGGGGAAATACATAGTACAAAACATGAGGAAACTTCCTGGAAGCAACTATTTCAAAAACATGGGATAATACCCATTGAATCATGTCTCCAAAGTGGAATAAAAATCAGAGATGGGGCTGGGGTTGTGGGGTTTTGAGGTTTGGTTTGTAGTGGTTGTTTCCTGG